CTGTGCAACTGTTGTGCAACTCTACTCGCATACAGACGACCTTGAATACTACTGTCTCCCTCTTGTTGATGTGTGTGTGGCAGGACGTTGCACTGGCTGTGCATTCTGGTTTCGTCACCTGCCACGACCGCAGCACCACCCTGCAACTGTGTTTGCCCTGCCGTCCTGGTCGGCGATATGATTACCAGCCGTCGCCATGGCAAGAGGCAGGGCAATAGCGACAATAGAGAATGGCAGCAAGAATGGACAACAGGTGGGAGCAAGAGCCTTGCACAGTTTACCTCATCATTTGTCGTGCCGTCTTTTCGCTCTGGCAATATCCCAGCATCTCGCCTTCCAAAGCATCATAGAGTTGATCAGCAGGAAGGCGGCGAGGCATGCATGCTTCCGAAACTCTGGATACCAGCTGCCTTTCGACCCCGACGCAGCTGGTCAACGTCGAAGGTTTCTAGTCAACATGGCAAGCGCTCTCTTCTCGTGTTACTGATGGTTTTTATTCCGTCACGAATTCCATCACCACCCCTTCAACGGTCCTCTGCCACATCGCGTCCTGCATCGTCAACCTTGTGCATCGTGATCGCACTGCCTGGAGTACCTCTGCGGCGTGGCTTGTCTGTCCTCATTCTCTTTTCGTATCCTTACCAGCCTATTCTGCCGAATCACTAGTCATCTGTTCTATCCAGTCCTTCTCCGCGTCCATCACCTTCCTGTCTTAGACTCTGGGCGTTGGATCACCAAGTCGACGAGATGAGGTAAGACACACATTCCCGGTGCCAAACGACCTTATCCGCCGAGGAGCTCGGTGATGCGCCGGCTATCAAGGGGGATCGCATGACGGCTGCGTCACCCTCCATCACACGCCCACCTACATAGTACACCCAACCTCCCCGCACTTTGGCTGCACCGGCCTGTCCCCGCACGCTCCCACTGGCTGTGTTTCAGTGGTCGCCCAGCTGCGCCAGGGTGTTCCCGTGCTCTGCCTTAGCTCCCCCCGGGAGCTTCGAGTCCGTCTTGCTTTCGTTCGATTTCAAGGAAAGCTAACCAGACATCCTTCTCGCAGTGAGCAAAAACAATCAAAGACCCTCAATCAGTACATGAACGACGCCCTAAGAGCTTCACAAGCTATTGATAAGGGCGCATCATCTCCATCACCCACCCCAAGGCCGACCCATCACCATCTCACGGAGCTCCAGCGTAATCGTCGCCTGAACAATCGCTCAGCTCCACCCAGCTCCCTCAATCGATTGAAACAGACCGGCAAGCACGCCCTCGACGACACTTCAGGACAGCCCACTATGGGTGGCGGCAGAGAACTCAAGAGCAAGAGCGACTACCCAGCTCTGGCCCAGCGGCCCGTCGGACAATGGATCTCCAACATCTACAAGGAGAGAATTAACCAGTTCTACTCCAGCGGACAATGGGAGAAATACAACCTGCTGGCGTACGTGAACCCCACTGCGCCCCGTACCCCATCTGGGGAACATTCAGCTAATTGTAGACCAGGATGATGACGGAGGGCACCGCGTCAGGCGAGCCTCATGTCAAGCTGTCCGTCTGGGACGCTCCTGATACCACCCGGCCGACATTCGAAGACGCCGTATCTCACGAATTCAAAAAGACCGAGGTTGGCGCTTGGTTTGGACCGTCTTGGTCCACCCACTGGTTCAAGGTCATTCTGACCGTACCAGAAGAGCTGCGTGACAAGGAGCTACTTGAATTGCACTGGGACGCCAACAATGAGGGCTTGGTCTGGACTGAAGACGGCAAGCCACTCCAGGGCCTCACCGGAGGCGGCGAACGTACGGAATGGATTCTGCCCAAGGAGTTTAAAGACGGCAAGGAGCACACCATTTACATCGAAATGGCCTGCAATGGCATGTTCGGCAACGCTCCCGGCGGAGATTCTATCCAACCCCCGGATCCTAACAAGTACTTCCAGCTCGGTAAGGCCGACATTGTCGCCGTCAACCCCCAGGCGAGAGCCCTCTGGATCGACATTTGGATCATTGGGGATGCTGCTCGCGAATTCCCCAAGGAGTCATGGGAGCAGCACAAGGCCCTCAAGGTCGCCACTGATATCATTGACGCCTTTGAGCTCGGCAACAAAGACTCCATTCTAAAATGCCGAAAGATCGCACAAGAGTACCTTGGTCCAGATGTCGACTCTCACAAAGTCTACAGCACCGACAAGGACCACCAGGTTTACGGCATTGGTCACTGCCACATCGACAGCTGCTGGCTGTGGCCATGGGCCGAGACGAAACGCAAGGTTGTGCGATCTTGGTCCAACCAATGCGATTTGATGGACCGCTATCCCGAATTGCACTTTGCGTGCTCGCAGGCTCAACAATACAAGTGGCTCAAGGAGCTATACCCCTACGCGTTCGATCGCGTCAAGACGAAGGTCAAGGAGGGCAGATTCCACCCGATTGGTGGCAGCTGGGTTGAGCACGATACCAATATGCCCAGCGGAGAGTCTTTGGTAAGGCAGTTTCTCTACGGCCAGCGCTTCTTTGAAAGCAACTTTGGCGAACGCTGCCAAACCTTTTGGCTCCCTGATACCTTTGGGTACTCTGCCCAGCTTCCTCAGCTTTGCCGCTTGGCTGGAATGAGCCGCTTCCTCACCCAGAAACTGAGCTGGAACAACATCAACAATTTCCCGCACACCACTTTCAACTGGGTTGCTCTTGACGGTAGCCAGGTCATCTGCCACATGCCGCCTTCCGAGACCTACACTGCCGAAGCCCACTTCGGCGACGTAAAGCGAAGTGTCAGTCAGCACAAGTCCATGGACCAAGATCACACCTCACTGCTTGTCTTTGGTAAGGGTGACGGTGGCGGCGGCCCTACCTGGCAGCACCTTGAGAAGCTCCGCCGATGCCGCGGTATGTCCGATCAGGTTGGCATGCTGCCTAGAGTGCACATGGGAAAGACCGTCGATGACTTCTTTGACAAGTTGGAGCCCAAGGCCAAGACGTTCGTGACTTGGTACGGCGAACTCTACTTTGAGCTTCACCGTGGTACCTACACTACTCAAGCTAACAACAAGTACAACAACCGCAAGTCTGAAAGCCTACTCAGGGACATTGAGTGGCTTGCCACCATTGCCACTCTGAGCGACAATGGAAAGGACTACAAATATCCCAAGAAGGACATTGACGATATGTGGGAGGCTGTCCTCCTCTGCCAGTTCCATGACTGTCTCCCTGGCAGCTCCATTGAAATGTGTTATGATGACTCTGATGAGGTGAGCACTGTCTTTCGATTCACCGTCGAATCCGCTAATATTGGTAGCTTTACGACAAAGTATTCAAGACGGGCGAGAAGATCCTCAAGGATCTCCACAACGTCCTCGGCGTCTCTACCACTACCACTGGTCGCATCAGCGAGACCGTAGCCTTGAATACACTCCCTTGGCACCGAAGAGAGGTTGTCGAGATTGCTGAGAACGAGGCTGGTGTGGCTTGCGGAGACGGGCAAATGCTTGCCATTCGCCCCTTCAAGGTCGATGAGGAGAAGCCAGCTGTCACAATCGAGGAGGTCAGCGATGGTGTCTTCGTGCTGCAGAATGACCAGCTCCGTGTCAAGGTCGAAGATGGTTACATCACCTCTTTGTATGACCGCGTCGCTGATCGCGAAGTCATTGAAAAGGGAGGCAAGGCAAACCAGTACGTCGTCTTTGACGACAAGCCCCTTTACTGGCAAGCCTGGGATGTCGAAGTCTACCATCTTGACACCAGGAAGGAGCTCACCTGTGGGAAGACCTCCATTTCCGAGCAAAAGTCACACCGTGTCAGCCTGACGACGGAGATCAAGATCAGCGAGCAAAGCTCCTTGAAATCTACGATTACCCTCTCAGCTGCTCTTAAGGGAGTGCAATCATGGGTTGAGTGCCACGCTGAAGTCGATTGGCACGAGGCAATGAAGTTCCTGAAGGTCGAATTCCCCGTCGACGTCAGGAACACCGAGGCATCCTATGAGTCAGCGTATGGCGTCGTCAGACGCCCTACTCACTACAACACAAGCTGGGACATGGCCAAGTTCGAGGTCTGTTGCCATCGGTTCGCTGACTTGTCCGAGCACAACTACGGTGTCTCCATTCTCAACGACAGCAAGTACGGTTTCGCCACCGTCGGCAACTTGATGCGTCTCTCGCTTCTGCGATCACCAAAGGCCCCTGACGGCAATGCCGATATGGGCACACACCAAATCCGCTGGGCCATCTTCCCTCACGAGGGTAATCTCAGTTCGTCGACTGTCCGCGCGGCTTACGCTTTTAACAACCCTCTGAAGTTGCTCTCGGCGCCGGATGCTGCGCAGTCGACCCTGACGAAGAGCCCAGTCACCCTCACTGGAGACGGCTCTTTGGTCCTTGACACTGTCAAGCGTGGCGAGGATGACGAGGACGTCACTCGCGGTGACCTCCCCAAGCGCAAGGGCCGCAATGTCATCCTGCGCGTATATGACAGTCTTGGTGGACAAAGCAAGGGTACCATTGAGACGACTTGGGACGTCAAGCGCGTCTACAAGTGCAACTTGCTTGAGGATGACCTCGAGGAGATCAAGATCGACGATGGAAAGTTCAACATCACCTTGCGACCGTTCGAGATTGCATCGTACCGTCTGGAACTGTAGGATGAATGCCTCAGCGACTGCGGTCTCGATCATGAATGCGACTCGGACATTGCCGAAGTCGACGAAATTGCGACGCCATTTGATGACTTTTGAGAAAGCGTAAAGATGACCTTGGCGGTGTGATCCGGCACCTAATGAGTGATGGATGGATAACAGGAGATGAACATGCTCCTGACTTGAGTCTGAGGACGCGTCAATACCTATGTAAAACAACACTTGAAATCAGAATGACTTTCTAGTTCCTTGATCCTACAAGCGCCCGCCCCAGAACGCCGCGGTGACTTTGAAAAAGCCTTGCAAATTCCCCGGGAATAATTGTGAACAGATCATAATACAATACACGGTTCCAACCCAAACTTTTCCATTCACAGCGAACCTTCCTGAGGCAGCTCCTCAATGACGGTTTCCACCATGTCAATAAGCTCGTCAATGTCTGGCCTCTCAGCCGGCTCGACCTTGAGACATTTCCTCACAACGTCGCGGATGGGCTCGCTGATCTTGGGCTCGCTGGCTGATGCGCCACCGTTGCCCGAATCAACGGCCTTGCCCTTCATGCCCGTGCCGGTACGCCTAACGCCCTCGTCGGGGAACCGCCAGTCGCCGCCGAGAACGCAGAGACTCAGCGAACCACCCGTCTCATCGGAGCGTGCCTCAAAGGGGGACTTGCCGACGAGGCATGCGTACAACGTGCAGCCCATCGACCAGATGTCCACCTTTGTGTCGATCACGGTGCCTGTGCGGACGTCGAAGAGCTCCGGGGCGCGGTAGGGCATGGTGCTGTGCTCGGCGGCGATGTCCTGCGTCGCGATGGCGAGGGAGTGCGAGGTGATTGCAATCGGGGACGGGGCGATGGAGCCGAGGTCCATCAGGATTGGGTTGGAGCCCGAGTCGTCAATCATGATGTTTCCTGTTTTGCCATAACTGTTAGTTTCCTGTACTGGCTGTCTGCTGAGTGGATGGATGGAAGCTTACCGGGCTTGATGTCGCGATGCGAATAGGACTTCACGTCGCCCGACCCAGGCGTCTCCCCCTCCATCAAGGGCCTCTGCTGGTCCTCCTCGTCCTCGTCGTCGGCGCCTCCTGCCGCGGCGCTCGTGACCCTGTTCCCGCCCTTGTTCTTGCCCTTCTTCCTCTTGCTGTTGTTCTCCGTCGAGTCCTCCTCGTCGCCGTTGCCCATCTCCATGCGCTCCATGGCCACCGGCGGGCCGCCGCTGTACTTGTGCATCGCGCGGAGGGCCTTGCAGACGCCGAGGAACAGCAGCATGAGGCGGCGCTCGGGGAACGCGGTGTGGTTGACGAGGTTGGCGTTAATGAGGTCCTGGAGGTTGCCGCGGCGGTAGTAGGGCAGCAGGACGTAGACGGTCTTGGAGCCGGGCTCGCCGCCGCGCTCGGTGGCGATGGCGTGGTCCGCGGCGTGGATGATGCCCGGGACGCGGGCGAAGAGGCGGTAGGCCTCGACCTCTTTCATCGCCTGGGCGACGGACTCGGCGCCGAAGGGGCATCGGATCTTCTTGAGGGCGAATTCTTCATTGGTCGATGTGTCTTGGACGAGGTAGACGTAGGAGAAGCCGCCCTGTGCGAAGGGGAGGGGTTCATTAGCTGCTGGGCCAGTCACTGGAGATGCGGAGGTGGGCTTACCTCGCCGAGGAGACGGAGAATCTTGAAGTTGCGGCTGTTGATCTTGAGGGTCGGGGAGCCGGGGAAGCAGTTTAGGCAGTTCCCGAAGGAGTAGACGATGTCAAGGAGCATTTGCGCCATGGTGGGCTACTTTCAATTCGACAATTCGACGATGCGATTTGTATGATGCTGTTGCGGTTTCGAGGTTCGTCCGGGGGAGGGTCTGCTCTCTCTCTCGGCGGAATCGGGGTTTCAAACAATTGGGAGTCCAATCACACAGCTCCTCGTTGGCGGTAAACAGTTTAAAAACGGTGAGGCGATCACAACGGACGAAAGCAAGAAGGAAGAAGTAAAAAGGAAAGGAAAAGCTGCACAGCCTCGATGCGAATTGAGGTTACGTCGACCTTTCCGCGCGCGCGTCACTGGGCTCTGTGAAGAATCAGGAACAGCAGAGCAGTGGACAGCTATTAGCTCTCACAACCCCGGCAACCGTGAGTGGGCAAGGAGCTGACGCAGGTCCGTTAAAAAAAAAAAGAGGCCAAGGATGGGTACGGTAGTACGTCAGGTCCCAGTGCCGCTCTGTAAGTCGCTTTCGGGGAACGCGGGACTGTGCTCTAGTGTATCCGCCGGAACCGCGCGAAAGGTGACGCAAATAGCAAAGGCAGGTTGCAGAAGGTGACGAGAGTCGATGGAGGATGTGAGGATAGACGCGCGATCTGAGGATGTGAAAATACTGCAAACTTTGAGACGTGGGAGACGACTGAACGGGAAACATCAGATCAATTGCTCCTGCTGCTGCTGAAGGTTGCCGCCCTTCTCATCCAGTGAGTGGTACTGGCTGCGCCATGCCCGGCTGAGCTAAGGATTCGTGCGCAGAGACCGTGAAACGCCACGGGGACCTCCTTCTGGCTGGTGGGGAACACCCTACAGACCCAACTCGGGAGACGGCATTGAACGCTCAGCAGCCCCGGCCGCTACCGACGGGAAGACCCCTGCCGTCCGAATGCAGCCCGTCCCTTCAGCAAGTGCTGGCAGCCGGCCTCAGATTTCGAGAACAATTCATCACATGCGACAGAGCCATCGATATGTTGCCTGTAATCTGTAGTAGGATCTTCTTATTTTTAAGGTCTACTATTAAGATGTTGTAGAAGTCATGTGGCTTCAGTACCAAAAGCCCACGGCCATTGTGTCGTCTCCTCCACTCCTCGAAACGTTACTGTGAACTGTGGTATCATCGCTACAAATGCTATGACGAACAGAAAACTACCACCACTTTGTCACCCAAAATCCTACACAACTCCCGCCCATCGTACAGGCTGACCTCTCCAAGCGATTCAACACGATATAACAATGAGACCAAGACCTGGACCATAAAAAAGTGGCGGGCGTCCTTCGCTTCCAAGAGTAGAAGTCAGTACCCCTAGAACGCATCTTCAAACGGACAATCGACACTGTCGTGCCCGTCTCTCTCGCAAAGGGCGCACCACTTGGAGTTGTCTACCACGCCGCTATCCTTGCCAGCAACAGGTCCATTATCCATGGGGTTGGGCAGGATCTTGACGATTGGGGGAGCAGCAGGCAGGGTAGCCGGAGGAGAAGATGATGCCTTGGGTCTCGGCGACAGAGGAGGGGGCTTGTGCTCATCGTCCATGGGCTTCAACGCTTCTCTTGTCACGTCCTTGATGGACCTCCCGTCACCATTGGTCTTGCCGCCGTCGGTGCCGAACATGTTGGTGCAGGTGAGAATGTCGTGACCGCCAGTCTCACAGATCTCGCACCAGAGAGTGCTATTCTCAGTAACTGATGAGTAGGTATCGCTCTCAGGCATGGTGTCCAAGGTGCGGCCACGCTTGTGCGTCGCCTCGGGGGATCGAGGCTCGTTGTTCCGCGTCAACACCACGGTGTCACGTGAGTCGCGGAGTGACGAGCGCTGGGCGCCACCGTTTGTCATGGAACCAGATCGTTGAGTTGTGGCGCTACCCCTACGCAGCATCTCCACCTCCCGCTCAAGTTCCTCCTCGCGGTGGTTCTTGTCCTTGACAACAGCACGAAGCTCCGCGAGCTCTCTCTCCAACTTCTCGCGCGCCATAGCGTTCTCGCGGATCGAGGGGTCTTCCGGTTTCTCGGCATCGGGGACAGAATCTCGACTGAGGGAGTGGATGATAGCCTTCAGCCCTCGAATCTCGTCTTCCTTCTGCTCGAGTTCCTTGGATACAGAAGCCCGATCGCCGTTTGATGGGCCTCCGGAGCCGTTCATCGTAGCTGAGGCTTTCTCGCGTTCGCGGCGCAGCTCGGTACGCGTTCGCTCGACTTCACCGCGAAGGAATTCGACCTCCCCTCTGGCTTCGGCTTCGCCACGTCGTGCATCTTCAAGGCCCTCCTCCAATTCTTGTACCAACTCCTCAAGCTGCTTCAATTGCCGTGCAACCACATCCACATCATCAGTGCGAGACTCGAGCTCTCGAATCTCTCCCATGAGTTCGTCGATGCGCTTTTCATACACTCGCTCAGTTTCAGTACTAGCCATCTCCAGGGTATCGATGGTGCTGCGGAAGTCGGCTCGGTGCGCATCGAATTCGGCCGTAAGCATGGCGATCTTGTCGTTCTTTTCTCTAACCAGCATTCGAAGTTGCGCGGAGTCCTTATCATCGAGACTATTTCGTTTCATGGCTGTCATGTCGGAGTTCTCCATTAGTGTCTGCAGCTCAGTAAGACTGCTTTCCATCTCTGCTAACGTGGCTGCTTGGTCTCTCAACTGTCTCTCACGATCCTCAAGCTGCGTCCTCAACCGTTCCACCTCATGATCGTTGGTGGCCCTCGATGCTGCTCTGGAGCCCGCGCGCGAGGGAACCCGAAATTGTGAGCTATATGACGAGACCGACGTTACGCTTCCGTTTGTTTTGGTCCGCTGCAAGGCGGTGGGTGTGGCTTCCTCGTCAAACAGGCCCAGGGCAGAAGCACTGCGAGGTCCCACGCTAGGTTTCCTGTCGAGTCTGCCGGGTGTCTTGCTAGGATCCCCAGCCGTTCCACGCACGCTCTGAGCAAATCTATTGCCAGTGGGAGACGTGTACTTGGAAGGGACTCTGTTGGGGGTTGCCAGTGAAGGCCTCGGCCCAGGCGTCATTTGCAGTTTGCGCGACGGCGACTCTGGGCGCAGGGAGGGTTTGCTTGGCTTCTTCAGTCCAGGACTAGTAGAACGTCCAATGCCAGGGCCGACGGATTTGCTAAATGCGGGCAGCGATGGCGTAGGAGGAGTGAAGTTTGTCGAGTTCTGGTTGCCGACTTTCAGGCCACCCAAAGTGCTCGCCGTGGGTGTATGTGGGAATGAGCTCGCGGAGGAGCCGGGAGGAGAGTCTCGCCTTACAGCCTTCGTGACAGGCAGGAAAATACCAGCGCCGGGCAAAGTCGTCGTGAAGTATGAAACACTGGGCAATCAAAGTCAGCCGTTGTTTCTCAAAAGGAAACCGCATGAGAACAAGTGCACATACCCTTCTACTTCACCAGAGTTCTTCCCCCGCTGTGAGAACTCTGGATGCAGCTCCACCCCAGCGAAAGTGCCCTTCTTTCCCTGAACCGAACCGATAAATCGAACAGTAGCGAGCATGTTGCCCGGCACTTCGACGACATCGCCAATGACAAAATCATTCCCGGGCTTACCGGGAGTGGTGGGCGCCATGTTGCGATCGGGCGAGTCGGCTAGCACGCTGTTGTAGGCGTAAGACTCGCTCACATCGGGAATGGAGGCGAGCGAGTTGGGAGTAAGGGCAGCAAGGGAGGATTTCCGCGGGAGAGTCTTGTGCGAAGGAGTAAGACGCGAATGGGCGTTGTAAAGCGAGTTGAGGCTGGGAGAAGAAGCGGTTGCGGCGGAGGGGAAAGCGCTTGTGAAGCTGGTCGCTTTGCGAAGAGAGCGCGGCTGGTTGGCGAGAGACCGATGGGTCGGCGCGTATGCGGCGGTCGCTGTTGTTGTGGTGACGGACATGATGAAATAGTTTGGGCGAATTCAAGGTAATATTTAGTGGGTGCCACGGTTCATGGACAGGGACCCGGCCACTAAACACGACCACTAGAGGGAGCGCTGAATGGCAACTTTACTGGACGTGGCCTTTGTTAGGCCGCGCAGGTCAGGCCAGGTTCCAGGTTGTGGTGTGTTGTTTCCCGACGCCCCACTGGACGCGGCGTAGCGCAAATGCAAGGTTGGGTTGCTTGCTTTAGTCGTGGCGGCAGCCGACAGCGAATGGGAGGCGCGACGAGATCCTTCTTTGGCGGACGGGACGGCAGAAGAAGCAACCCAAGACCTGGCTGGCGGGAAAAATTTCGGGTCGATTTGGTCGGGTGGGAGGGAGAAGAGGCACGCTCTGGCCGAGAAGAGGCTAAAACCAGAGACCCGCGAGGTGTGATCGTCCCGATAGCTTGACGTCTGTCTCTGGATCTGGCCTTAGCCAAGTTGGGGCGGTAGCGTGTAGTTGGGCGCAAAAGATTGTCTCTCTGGCCGAGATGTCTTGCGATGGTGGCCTTGTCAGGGTCCTCTGGCAGCAGTCCCAAGCTGCGTGGTCAGTGCCGGCTGGGGAAGACTAGGACAATGACAATGACGATGGTCCGGGCAACAACAGGGGGTTTGTCAAGCGGCGACGGCGACGGCGACAAAAGAAAAAGAGGACGGAAAAGTCCAATGCGACAGAGGGAAGCTCGCGAGATGAGGGGCTTTTTGTTGCGCTCTGAGCCTCCTATCCCCTTTGAAAGCACGGTCGCTCTAAAATGTCCTCAGACGTTGACCACTTTTTGGCTCAGCCTTTGGGGTAGGGATCCGATGGCCAACAAGATGCAGGGGGGCGGTGGGTGTCAGGGAAGGGGGATTGGATTGGAGTTGGTGATCCGTCAGGAGTGTAGCGCTATCCTTGCTGGCGGTGATGGTGGTAGCGGCGGTGGTGGGATGGTTAGACGATGCAGATGTAGCGGCAGGTACCCGTCTCCCTTGGGAAGAACTGGTGGTGTAGTATGTGTTTGTGCGTGTCGTGGTGGAATGGGAGATGGCAACGAAGGGTGAAGAATTGAATGGCAGTGAGTCGTGGTTGTGTGTGACTTGCACTGGTACAGATTGGTGTAAGGAGAGACAAAGTCAAGACAGTCAAGACACACCAAGAAGGTGGACGACAGGTTAGCGACAAGAGTCGAGCGAGTTGGCTGGCTGGCTGGCTGCTGGGGATCGAGACAGACAGAGCCAGAGACGAAACCCGAGATGGAGACAGAAGACGACGACGAGGTCTTTGTATCACGAGCAACGGCTCCCCGATGTTTACGTGGATCCAGATTCAGCAAAGAGCAGTCACAGGTGGCGGCTGCTCGTGATGGGCTTGGGCAGTGACAGGCCCTGACTCTGCGCTGTCGATGGCTGCAATTGGACAGTGTAGCTGCGTCGCTCCTTCATCATCCCCATTGCGATGCAGCCGCAGATCTTCTAGACGTCGACCCCTTGAAGCCCACGGCCGTCGTCAGTGGTTCCTGCTGCACCCATCTCCTCATGGTTGCCATGACGCTGTCGTAGCTCTGCATCGTCCGAACGTGGCTGTCTTTACCGCTGCATGCAGACAGCGGGGCCAGGAGCCGCCCAGCCCAGGGGACTTGACCGCCTGCATGCAACGTGTTCGCCTGTCCGTCGTGGCTGTTGTGGCCGTCGCGGGGTGAACACCTCACTTCACACATGTCTCCGCCTCACGCATCGCTCATGCCATCTTCGTCCACTTACTGATACCGGAGAGTACCTTAGGTCGGTAGGTAATATCCCTCACAAAGTCTCAACCACATCTCATCAGAAAGCATGTACGAGTACTACCACCCCAAAGTCGAAACTGATTAACCGGCGTAGCATCAGGCCAATAATTGTAATCGACCACTCGCCTCTCAATTCTGACATTTAATCTTAGATTTGGTTCCCTTGCCCAGTCACCTGTCTAACGCCTCCCAAATTTAGATGGTCACCGTCAACGAACTGAACCATGGCAGCCACATCAGATGCTACCTGATCGGTCAGCACCAGCTCCCGCTTTCCGGCGACCCGAATTCTATTGTCATTCTTTGGCCGAGGCGGGCTTGGATCCAGCTGGAATGAACCAGGGGACAGCGCCGTCGTCCGCCCAAAAGAGTCAAGATAGCGTTGGGCAAGATATGGGTCCCATGCAAGTCGTCACACGGCTGCGTGATGCGAATCAGGTCCGACAGGGCCTGCCAACGGTGACAGATGTCCTCCGTCGGCTGCGGCTTGCGTGCATTTTATGTCGCGAGATGTGTTGTTCTTGTTTTGCTTCCTAATCCAGCAACTCTGAGAGAAAGAACTTTCTCGCGGACAGAAACCCACCGTCCAGGCCCAAACCCCAATTGCCCCAGGTTGATTTCAATCTTTCTCAGTCGTTGGATACCGCTGCTTTGGGTGAGACCCCGTTCCTGGAATCAGACAGGGACGGCCTGGGCGTTTCCTTCTGGAAATGGCTCCAGGCCGAGAGAGGGTCCCTGGGGTTTAGCGTCAAAGCTTCCGAAATCCCAGGAACAGTGGGGGAAACCGCTAAGAATCTCCGAGCTGGCATTTGCCCTGCCTGACCTGTGCCACGGGTGCATCACCACGCTAAATCATTCAAAGCTGGCCGCCGACTGGACCGACGTGAAGCACGGATCTTACAGCTCACGATCAGACGAAAATAATCTCGCCAATCTGCCTTCCGACCTCTCGCATTCAAGAATACGTATCGTCTGAAAGCATAATCGCAAATCGGTCTGTGGTAATTTGTCACTTAATCATGGCATAGCCCGCGCGGAATCTCACTGTGCTTGGTTCACATTCTCCTATTGAATCTGTAGGCAACAATTCTGTTGCGTTTTGAGACGCGTTGTCCAATCCATGCTATTCTGGCGTGTGCGTAAACGACTTGCCATTGGATCTCCCACCTCGGAAGGGAATGAATTGCAAATGAGTTGCAATTATGCGCCCTCTTCCACGTGCTACAAAACCACAACAGGCCGTCGGCAATAAGATCTTGACGCGCTACCGGTCTCGGGGTACTCCCTGCTATCGGCCGCACCGGGCCGTGTTGAGTTGCAGGAATTTTCTTCTCCGAATCGCGTGCGCGTTCTCATGCCATCAGCAGCCTACTCAGTAGCCCCTGGTTCATTCTCCGATGCGCCGTGACAGGGTGTAAATCTATGGTAATGAGTGAGACCCTTGGGCAGAACATGTTTCGATGAATATTCCGCTTTTTTTTTTTTTTTTTTTTTTTTTTTTTTTTTCAGCTGGGGGAGTCGTGGCCTCTCTCAATTATGTCCTCTCTGTGGATAGGTCGTGTGCCATCATTGAAGACCATAGCTTCTCGATGTCGGCGTCTCAGACGTTGTTCTTCCGCCGAGTGCTCTCTGGTACGAGGCACCTGCTCTACGGATTGCTCTGCGGACTGTTGGCCTTCATCGCCCTCAGCATTTGACAAGGTCGACTGCAATGCTATTGTAAAGCCAGCAATGTTTGCATCCGGAGTGAGGTTGAAATTCGTTTTGGACGCCAACTTGCAGGCAACAATGGCCTTCGCGCCAGCGGTGGTGTGTGCAATCCTGGTAACGATGTCGACGATACGGTTGTTCTTGTGTTCCATGTAGTAGATGAAGTTCTCCTGAACCTCGGACTCGGTGTCTCCCCAAGGCTGCTTCGCCAGCCATTTCTCAACAAACTTGGCCTTCACCAGCATGTCGGCGCCGTACTTGGTAACCAGCTCGAGGACGAACATGAGGCAGAACCGTTCGGCCATGTCGCGCAGATAATACTCGTCCCAGTACTTGTCATCGAGCTTCGTGTGTTCCACATCCTCCAAGCTGAGCTCAAGGGACCGCACGAGGGCCGTGTACGCTCTCCATGTGTGCAGTTTGGAGAGACCCTCTGCAAAGTCTATAAGTCAGTCAGCTCTTCCGCTCCGCAAACGCACGAAAGCTTCTCACCATTGGTCTGACCCGTCAAAGTCGCAAGAGCACGAAGGCTCCGCATACGAGTATCGTAGTCAGGCCGGGTAATGCCATAAAGCAGATATCGAACGGTGTCGGTGTCGTTCACTGCACGGTCGCAGAGGATCTTGATTGCGACATCCCGGATAGAGAAGTTGGGATGGCAGAGAAGTTTGTCAAGTGTTTCGAGACCAAGCGAGTCCTCTGTTTCCTGCGTAATGTACTGCGTTTTAGGAGGTGATGCCTTCACTTCATTCTCGTCGCGGATGTACGTCAGCATCTGGGTCATCATAGTGACCATGCCGAACGTAGCGACACCAATCCCCAGCAGGACGATGCGCTCATCACGAATAAATGACATGAAAGTCATGTTGAAAATCTTCGAATGCAAGGCTATTGAAACATTGTAAAGTAGCTTGTCGCAAGCACTTTTAGAAGAAGTGTTGGCGGAATTTAGGGTGAGATTTGGTTGGGGTTGCGTGGAAGCCGGCTGCTTTACTAGCTGACGATGGAAGCCGGGTGAGTGAAGCTCGCCGCTGGTTCTGCCATGCGCCACCGCCTTTGGTTCCCCACTATGATGATAAGATAAGGCACAGTCGCTCTCAAAAAACTTTTGGAAGATTAGTGCCTGCCATTCTCCAGTTGCGAAATCGACACCATCTTTGGGGAACACTCGACAAAATGGCCGGCTCGCAGCTCAAAAGGCTCAAGTCCTCCCTCAAGGAGCAGGGGATCATCGGACCGCAAAAGTCCAAAAAGCAAAAGCGCCAGATTGCACAGGAGGAGAAAGCGAAGAATGACAAGCGTCTGCAGAAGAGTGCGGCCCTGGGGCAAATCAGAGAGCAATTCAATCCGTTTGACCTCAAGCACAACCCAAGAGGACCCAAGTTCGATGTCACAAGCAACAGACCTCCCGCGGGAGCCGCTGCAAAGGGAATTAGCGGTCGTCCTGGAGTAGCAAAGTCCATTGGCGAGCAGAGGGTACGCAGAGTAGCTCATTGACCGCAGGAACAATCTGCTAATTGCAAACACAGCGCCGAGAGACTTTGCTCGTCGAGATGCAGAAGCGAAACAAGGTCGGAGGAATACTCGATCGTCGATTCGGTGAAAACGACCCAGCAATGGCCGAGGAGGAAAAGATGATTGAACGTTTCGCCCGGGAGAAGCAAAGGTCACACAAGAAGACTTCTCTTTTCGATCTCGAGGAGGCCGAGCCACTCACAGAACTGACCCACATGGGTCAATCGATCAACCTGGACGACTCAGCACTCGCAGACGACTTTGACGAAGACGACCTCAACGGCTTCGAGAGCGATGATTCGGATATGCTGGCAAAGAGAATGAAGCGCGCTCGTGCCGGTGAATTGGGAGACGAGGATGCCGGCGACGACCAACCCGAGAGGAAAAAGTCAAAGAAGGAAGTCATGGAGGAAGTTATTGCGAAATCGAAGGCGTACAAGTATGAGCGTCAGGTTGCGAAGGACGAAGACGAAGATCTGCGTTTGCAGCTGGACAAGGAGTTGCCAAACCTTCAGGCTCTCCTGTTTGCCGGCGGCAAAAATGATACTGCGAAGTCGGATAACTCAGGGAGGTTGATTGCTGGCGTTGATAGGGCTACCTTCGACAAGGATTTTGACTTGCGCCTCAAGAAGCTCGTCCAGGATCGCAGAGCTGCGCCCGCCGAGCGAACAAAGACCGACGAAGAGAAGGCGGAAGAGGAATCCAAGAGGCTCAAGGAGCTTGAGGAGAAGCGTTTGAAGCGAATGAACGGAGAGCCCGTCTCTAGTGATGAAGAAGATGAAGATGAAGAAATGGAAGACGATCCTGCTGGGCAGCCAGATTTCGAGTTTATCACCGAAGAGGAGGACGAGGACTTTGGCCTTGGTAAGGGAATCAAGACTCGTCCAACCGCAACCGAACTCGGCTTCGACGATGAGGACGACTTTATCATCGACGACGACCTGGTTGCCAGTGGCTCGGATCTCGAACCCGTCAGCGAAGAGGAAGAAGAATCTGACGAGGAGAGTGACGGAGAGGGAGAGGCCGAGGATGACGAAGACGACGAATTTACCAAGGGCCTGCTCAATGAAGAAGAAGCCAAGAGCTCAATCTTTATAAGTGCGCCTACAGGCGACAAGATGGCTGTGGATGGCGAATTGCCATTCACGTTTCCATGCCCGCAAAGCTACGATGAGCTGCAGGCTCTTGTGCAGAAATACCCCAGCGACAAGATGCCTACCATCGTGCAGCGCATCAGAGCTCTTTACCATCCAAAGCTGGACAGCAGGCACAAGGAGAAGCTTGGAAACTTTGCCAAAGCACTTGTCGATCTGGTCGCCAGCGATCGCAGTGATGGTAGCCCGTCTTTCCAAGCAGTGGAGAGTGTCGTTCGACACATCCACTCATTGGCCAAGATGTTCCCCATCGAGATTGCCGTGCAGTACCGGTCTCATCTCGAGACAATCAGCCAAGAACGTCCTCTTGCTCTGCATATGGGAGACTTGACATTACTAGCCGCGATTGGGTCGACATTCCCAACTTCAGATCACTTCCACCAAGTCACGACACCTGCAATGCTCACTATCGGGCGCTACCTTGGCGGCAAGATCCCGCAGACCCTCAACGATTACGCTATTGGCACCTACCTCTCGACCTTGGCCGTGCAGTACCAGCAATATTCCAAGCGTTACGTCCCCGAGGTCATGAGCTACTGCCTCAACACCCTTTGCGCCCTGGCTCCCACAGCCCCTCCGGCCACGGGAAGCTTCCCTATTCACCAGCCTGCGGACGGTATTCGCCTAGCAAATGCGAAGAAGATTGAGCTCCGCCGGCTCTCTCCAAAGGATTGCTCCGCCACTGGTGTATCCGGCAAGGAGGCTGAGTCTACGAAAGCCGCTTTGTTAAGCACCACCGTCCAGCTCGTGGGTGCCGCTGCTGACACGTGGACTGGCAAGTCGGCTTTCTACGAGACCTTCCAGCCTGCCCTGAACCTCGTCGCGCATCTAAACAGCAAGGCCTGCCGTTCCAAGTTCCCCGAGGCCCTCGGCGAGCAAGTGGAGAAGTCCAAGGTCAAGCTGGACCGCATGCTCAAGATCGCTCAGCTCTCCCGTCGCCCGCTCGAGCTACACCACCACAAGCCCCTTGCCATCAAGACCTTTATTCCCAAGTTCGAGGACTCCTTCGACCCGAACAAGCACTACGACCCCGACCGCGAGCGCGCCGAAATGGCCAAGCTCAAGGCGGAGCACAAGAAGGAGCGCAAGGGCGCCATGCGCGAGCTGCGCAAGGACGCCCAGTTCATGGCCCGCGAGAATCTCCGCGTCAAGAAGGCCAAGGACGAGGCATACGAGAAGAAGTACAAGAGGCTCGTGGCGGAGATCCAGAACGAGGAGGGCAGAGAGTCCAATGCTTACGAGAGGGAGAAGGCGGGCAGGAAGAGGGCGAGACACAGGTAGACATGTTCGTTGTCCGTCTGCTTGCTTGCGTAATTAAAAATTTATACGTGCTTATCGGCATCTTATTTTCTCTTTGTATTGAATACCAGCATGAGGATGGGTTGGCGCCACTGTTTCTGGGCCGAGACGTCTGGATGGGAAGATGAAGACCGGAATAGAAAAGATTTCAAGGCAAACAGACGTATCTCAAAGCCTTTGTCCTAAGTTCGTGAGTCCGTTCGTATGGGAATTAAGTGTCTACACCTGTGGCCAAAAACCACGCTCTATCCATATACCGCGTCAGCTTCAAGTAGACAGCTACATGCGCTCGAGGGAAATTGTCAGACCTGGTTCGCGCATCAAATTGGCTGAATATTCGTGTTTTCAGTATCATCAACAAACTTAGTAGAGGTGCTGCTTAGTCTGGTGCCTGGATTCGGGTCAGAATATCTTTATAAATTGCTGGAGAAACTTTGCCAACTGTCTGCAATACAACGTATTAGAACAGAACATAACCTTACCTAAGTACTGGCAGGCGCCGCGAGTTGAGGTATTCTCGAGCCCATCCGTGATCGGTCGATTTGTCACACTTGTTGGTCTCCGGTCACTTACACGGACAAACTCAGATAACAGAGTAGAGGGCGCTTGCAGCTAGAACAATATGAAATGACGTTTTTAGCTGAAATTCCTGAGGTTGAAATGTTATCGCTCTCGTTGCTTTGTTTCTTAGATTTCGAAATAACAATAGTGATGTATAAATCGCTGAGAGTATTTCTTAGTCTGAGTTTTCAAAGGAGGAATAGTGTTCAATTAGATGACACTAGCTCAAGAAATGAAAAAATTAACAACCCTCGGAGCATCACTTTTTTGTATCTCTGTACAAGGAGTTAGAGTTGAGCATCCCAAGTGCGTTGAGGTTGGCTTCGATCCATAGTGAGCTATTGACACCTGGTGGCAGCTGGTTCCAGCGCCGATTCCTCCACAATAAGCCCCAGGCATCTTTCCTGCATTCATTCAACTCAGCTTCCTTCCTCGCAACAACCAAAACACGTCAATTTTAAATTGCTTCCGTGCGAGCTTTCTGAATGAGATAACACTGTACTCGGGTACCTCTAACATCATCTGACCTGGGTGTTGAAAGTGCGAGGTTGCGCCATCACACAAGCCGTCTCTCAGCCTCGAGTCAAATTTCCAGGTTACTTTTCTTTCTCACTTACATCTGCTCACGCATCCGTAACACTGTGAACCGCCAGAGGTTTCTACATCCGCCCAGCGCCATGGATCCAAAACAGGCCACCGCCTCTGATGATGAAGACGACTACATGAACATGACCTTCGACGAGCCCCCGGCAACCTCATCACGGGGCGCAGAAACGTCGCTGCAACGCCGCCAGCGCCTCAAGCGCGAAGGCGAGATCAAAGGACGCGTCAAGTCGAAAGAAGAACTCGCCGCGGAGGAAGAAGCCACCCGCGAAAAAGCCCTCTCGCGCTCTATGCTCAATGACGCGGCTGCCAAGAAGAGCAAGGGTCTTGCGATGATGGCTAAGATGGGCTTCAAAGGCGGCGCGCTGGGTGCCGACGGCAACACCACTGCGAGAACAGAGCCGATTGCTGTGGAGATCAAGGACGGTCGCGGGGGTATCGGCATGGAGAGTGAAAGGAAGCGCAAGCTGCGTGAGGCGGCAGAGAGGTTCGAGGAAGAGGTCAAAGAGGGGAAGAGGGTCAAGATCGACCCGCTCGAGTACCGCGATCGCATCAGGCAGGAGAGGGAGACGGCGCGAGTCCAGAGTCAGGTCTTTGCGGCGCAGAGGATGGCAGAGAGGATGGCGGAGGAGAAGGAGCTGGGCGTCGGAGATGGGGAGATTGTGGAAGACGCGGAGCTGAAGGAGAGGAAGAAGAAGTTGGCAACGGGGGCCAAGTCGAGGCCGCTCAAGTC